CCCCCCCATTTCTTCTTCTTTTTCTTCTTCCTTATACCGCACGTCTTCTTGACTGTCCAGATGATGTTGCTTGCAGACCACGCCGTGTTGTTGGAGCCCTCTCTGTTACTCCCTGCGGTTGGCGAACACCCACGGCCCTCCTCTCAGGATCTGGAGACAACGAAGGCAGCAGTTGCGAAGTCGTTGCTCCTCCTCCTGAGTAACTTCCCGAATTAACGGGTGTTAAAATGGATCGTCCTCGTGGACTACCACTGTTATTGTTCTTTTTCTTCTTCGTATTATTGTTGTTGTTGTTGTTGTTGTTGTTGCCGCTATAACTGGTGTGATTGGATTTTGCATTCGTATTCAGAACCCCACTCCTACTCGTTTCCCCCTGTGAAGAGACGGGTGAAAGCGCCGATGGAGTTAATCGCTGATCCAAGAGATGCGATGGGCTGTTCTCTCTATTCGTTCCACTTCTGTGTATATCAACCGACTGATTACTCAGCGTTGGAGCCGCTGTCGTTTTATAAAATCGTTTGGATCCATGTTGTGGACGTGGAGCGGCGGTTCGTCCTGTTCGTGCGAGTTGTGCCCTGTGGTAGTATTGTTTACTCAACAGCGACCACTGCATCCGCACGACCCCGCGGCCGTCGCCGTTGTCATCACACTCCATCGTGGAGAGTGAACTGCCGAGAGAAACGACGGGTGGTTTCTGCCGCTGCGACGGTTGGACCCGCGCGGAGGCGGGCGTTGCCGCGACTGCGACGAGAAATGCCGCCGCTGCGGAAGTCATCGTCGCCGCTGCGGGATCGGGATCGGACTCCGTGATGAAGAATGTGTGGCGTTCCTTCGTGGTGGATGAAGTTGTCGTGGTGGTGTTTGTTCCCTCCTCTGTGCGGGTGGTGGCGGTGAAGGTCTTTCCCAGACTTTTACTATCCACCGTGGAATGAGAATCCGACGGTTGCTGTGGATGGTGTGAGTGTGCGGTGGGGTTCTCCGGCCCATCATTCTCCTCACCGTCTGCAGTCGCCGGCAGGAGAAGAAGTTCACATGTGCTGAAGGGACTCCGCCCCGCTGGAGTCGACCGCAGAGGATCCGTCTCGGCAAATAATGTCTCACTTCGCATCGGCTGTGGAATTGGACCGCGTGTGAGGGCCCGCTGGAGTCCACTAAAGGACTCCGCTCGCAGTAATCCATCACCGCGAGAGACAATTAACTGCACGGCTTCTTCTGCGGTAAGCCAGCGAGCGGCTCCCGCTACTCGGTGTAGATCTAATGCCATACAACCACAAAGTCCCTTTTCACGACGAAGTGAAACGGAAACATTAATGGCACCATTTCCCTCTTCAGCTCCAGCACGTGCATATGGTGGTAGTGTACGATCAAAGGAGGTAAACCATGTTGGGGAAACATTTTGTTGAGAATCTTTTATGGATGCATGACCACTATTCGTATTGGTGTTTTTCTCACTTACACCACTACTATTCGTATTTACAACACTAGGAGAGTGACGTCGTTCGGCATTATGTGAACTATGAAACATACGGGAATCACGTGTTGTACCTCTCATCATTCGCCAAGACATACTTCGCGTTCTATCCTCTTGCAGTAGTCTATTATCATTATAAAAGGCCGATATAACCTTCTCATGTGCAGAAAGGTAAAAAGTGATGGTATCATCCCCCATGGCACCCCCATCGGTCTCTCCTGGTGTAGTGAAACCCCATCGTGTATTTAATTTTGTATCTAACATTCCACCATTATATCCTCCACCCATTGCCATTTCATGATCACCGCCTATATTATCATCATCATCATCATCATCATTGCTGCTATTGTTATTATTACTTCTATCACCACACAAATCCCGCATAAGACGTGTTACAGCAAACTTTACAGCTGCTGCATACGCTTCTACATTAAAGTCTTCCAATTCGGATAACATTGACATTTGCAGAGGAAGGAAACAGAGATCCTCAAGAAGAATACCTTTTGCCGACATCATAGCAGGAGACATATTTAATACAGCTAAAAGTAATTCTTTCTCTTTCTCTAGTAAAGTACGTTCTTTTTCTTGAGATTGTAGTGATGAAAATAAACTATTTCGTATTGAATGTGTACGACTTCCAGGAGTTTTTGGCATTACTCCCGCATCACTAGTCCTACTTTCACCTGCATGAGGAGATGGCGAAATACTAGCGCAATTACCAAGAAAAATACTACCACCATTAGTAGATGGTTTGCTCCTACCTATTCCAGTCCATCCCGTACTAAGTGAAAGCATAGACTCTCTCCGCATAACAGCCACTTTATACTTTACATCTAAATTATGCATCATATTTTCATGTACTTTCGCTTCATTAGACTCCGCCGCATACACCTGCCGTTGTCGACGACGCACTACACGATCTACTTTCTGTGCAATTTGCAACTTTACAGCCTCTCCAAGTTTACGAATACTTTCTTCTAAGAACATACCCGGGTGTAAATCCTGCAACCGTGCACAGGCATAAGGTGACCATAATGTAATTGATCCATCAGAACTTCCTACAAACACCAATCCATTACGTTGTGTTGTGATACATCGTACTCCCTCACCCTCACCCATGTATAATGTATCCTCTTCACGCACATCCACACGTCGGCGATGACGACGACGACGAAGTAAATCATCCAACATATATCGGGATGATCCTTCAAGAAAAGCATCACAGTCTACAGCAATGGTGGTAGGACAGGAATACTGATGTGTCCGTTGTCCAGAAGTACCACCACTCGTTACAGATATAACGGCTTCTTCTTCTATTTCTAACTCCAATCGTAGTAATCGGGCACGTTCACGTCTTTCATAACGAGCACGTTCTAATATTCCATTTAGTGAAAGTAAAGTAATTGGAGAATTACTTATGGTTGTCCTTACATGTCGTCGAAAGAGAAATTCAACCCAACTTACTGTAATAGAACTTGAAAACACATCCATAAAATTTTCTGGTATTTCAGCGTCAACTTCTTCCTCTACATTGCAAGATACTCTAACTTGATCTGATGGAGCATTATAAAAATGATCTTTATCAAAGTAAAATTCATTTCGATACAAAATTTCCTCAGCTATACATCTACGAATCTGACGTAATTCACTCTGACTGAGTGTTACTGCAGCTACTCCATTTGTATCTTCATTAGGTTCTCCAGATTTCTTTTTGGATGTTGCTCCTCCTGTTGTAGGTCTATTATTACGCCTCATCGCTAGTAATTGTAATGTATTATGAAGAATAGCTGCTCCAATAAGAAGATCTGAAAGTGTAGTAGTTGCAAGATCATATATGATTGGTATATTATCTGAACGTTTTTGAGATGATGATAATGAATCCGAATAAAAGAGTGGCCTACAAGATTCATACACCCATGAAAGAGAAGGTCTCCATACTTTTGGTGGACCAGCAGTAGATTGTCTATCGGTTGCTCCTGGTGTAAAAGGACTAGTCGGAACTGGCATATGAGCCTCAGAAGATTCTCTCCGTTGTTGTTGTTGTTGTTGTTGTTGTTGTTGCTGCTGTTGTTGTTGTTGTTGTTGTTGTTGTTGCTGTTGTTGTTGTTGTTGCTGTTGTTGTTGTTGTTGTTGTTGTTCAACAGCTCTCCAGGAAACAGAAATCTTCTTTTGACTCATTCCTCGATTCACCCCACGCCACGTTGCAAAGGAAGAAACCCGTTCAGTTTCAACATATGTCATTACTCGTTCAGGTGTGATACCAAAGAAAACTAACAAGAGATTACAGACCTGTTGTTCATTTCCAGTATATTGATTTACAGAAGGTATAGAGCGTAGTTCAGTGGATTTCTTTTTAGTAAAATGACTCCCAAGAGCAGGGCTAAGGTCAAACGCTAAAACCAAATTACGAAGAAGATAAGAAGAGATGTGTCCCTGTGTTGTTCCAATGTATAGTGTACAAAGCACAGGATCGAAATGCAGTACGGTAGGTGTACCTGAAGTACGAAACCACCACATACGCGTGGCTGCAGCACTATGTTGTTGATGTTGAGATTGTTCATCTTTTTCTTTTTCTTGTTGTTCTTGTTGTTGTCTTCTAGCACAACTACTATTTGGTCTTCTCTCATTCGTTGGACCTATCTCTGGTAAAGACTGTTGTTGTTGTTGTTGTTGCTGCTGCTGTTGTCGTCTTTGCTGTTTTCGATGATATAATGATACAGCTTTGAAAAAGTCATCCAATAGTCCAAGCATGGAAGAGCCTTTTATAAGGAAAAAATTAATTCCACCTTGTGCATCTGCTACTACTAAACAAGGATAGGCACCAAGAAAACTTACCGCAGAGACTTCTCCAGACATGTTAAATACATGTATAATAGTTCCCACAGGCGTACTTGTATCCATCACCGATACTCGTCCATTTACTTGTACAATACAGACAAGATCTAATGTAGGACTTACCGTAATAAAACTTACCGCATCGGCCTCAACAATATAATTTAATTGAGGTTCCGTAGTTTCTGTTTCCTTACTCATAAGGGCACCCGTCTCATTTGAGTTAACCCCTAATCTTCTTTGAAGGAAACCATCTAATCGTAAATAAGAAAGAGCTTTGGAAACGAGAAACTCTGGAATAATAAGACGTTGTGCCTGTACAGCATTGCCTATAAGAGGGAAAAATCGAATCACACCATCTGCATAGACAACACTTAATTCATCTGAATTTCGTGATATCATCATCCCAATAGCTTCTTTATGAATAGAACTATGTTCTCCTTGTTGAAGAGGTAATTTTTTCTCATCTCGTAAAAGACGATTAAGAACATATGCAATATCTTGTACTTTAATAGGTCCTCCTGCTGATAAAGGACGATTTACCTCTCCATCGTCAGACATACTACTACTTCTACGATCAATAGAATGTCTTGATGATGTAAAAAGATGACGATATTGAAGTACGGCGGCAAAAATAAGTTCACTTGATGGAGGTACAGTTATAAACGTTTTGGATAATCGTCCTGAATCTGTACGATGTACACGAATGTCACCATTATTAAGAGCATAAAAGATAAAACGTTCCTGCGAATCCACATGTGCACAGACAATCCTATAAGACATACCTTGATTTTTCTGTACATCATCTACTAATGAACCAGTATCAAGGGCATTTGCAATTCCTGCAGAAGTTTTATTAGAACTTCCTAGTGGTGAATGAGCTCTTTTACTATCATGTCCACTTTCTAATCGATGTGATAATCCACTTTGATATCCATCCCTTTCACCCACATTCCCTTCTGAAAATCGTTTGACACTACGATTACGACGATGGGCATCCGCCCGTTCACTCACAACACGCATTACATCTTTTAATGTTGGAAGTGGTTGTTTACATGCGTCTAATGTATGCCGTTCAGCCTCTTCATTAGCGGCAGCTAATTGTGCCGTTGTGGGAGATCCACTACCGTGATCCAATACGGGCATCATACGAGCCATAATAAATTCTGGATTATTGGCTTTAATCCCAAGAACTAAATTTCCACTTTGATATTGCCAAACACGACAGTCTGCTACACTTACACTAATAATCCATTGATTACGTTCACATGCGGTAATGTGAAGAAGTGGAGCTGAATGAGCCTTTACCGCCGTAGCTCCACCAACGAAAACACAAACAACATTATTTCGTGAACCTGTTACAAATAAACGTTTAGTAGAAGAATCATAGGCTACATAACGTGCAGGATGTAATTGCATAGCTTTATTGGCTGCATCTATAGTAGCACTTGTGGTTTGTAAAAGTAATGGAACATCTCGTTGATTTCTAGCATCATGAAGAAGTCTAGGTCGTTTCTTTTCAGATTCATCTACATCAAAAAGGCGATAACCTTTCTGAGAAGTACCTTGTTCATCTGAGTAATGATTATGAAATGTATTAAATCCTTGATCAGATAAAGCGTAAAAAGATGCCTTTGCTAAACCACTACGAAGATTCCATACCTTTGCATGTCCACTAGAGTCTACCGTAATAATTTGTTCCAAACCTTCATCCACTTTCACAGAAATAATAGGAAAGTAATGAGGTGCAATAGGATCATAAAGATCAAGACTGGAACTATGTTGGGTATTACCCCAAAGGGAAACTCGATTTCCAGTAGTTAATGTAAGAATAGCACTTCGTAGAGGTGTAATACATGCAAAACGTACACCAGCTTCCCGATCTGCTCGAAAAGATCGTAGTTGAGATAAATTATTAGCACGACTCAACACAACTGTACCATCTAAACTGGAAGAAAGTAAAACACCTGCAGGTGTGAGAGAAAGTGAAGTAACAAATTCTTTATGAATAGCACACCGTTGAAGTATAAATGGTTCCAAATGACAACGAACTGTCGTTGTAGCGGCCACACCTGTTGATAACATATCCCCACTGATATTCCTTGCGGCAACAATACGTTGTAAAATGGCTTGAACATCTACTCGGTAAACTTCACCTGATCGTGTACCTACATAAAGATAATTTTTTAATGCCGGATCACTATTTGGTCCAGCCGTACACCAATCCATTGCGGTAATGGTTTCTACACAACTGAGAGTAATAGTCTCTGGTATTAACCAAAGATGTTGATCCATGTTAAATAAACGGAGGGTTAAATCATTATGAAGTGTCACCAAAACAGTTGGTAAATTAGGAGCTACATCTTGAATTTGCAGAGCACTTTCTATACTTGGCTTTGTACGTCTATCAATACGTTCTCCACCTCCAATACGATTAACATCATCCCCATCCCCAAGAGCATCAGGATCCATATTATTACCTTGTAAATCATGTAATAACTTCTCTGCAGACTCGTCACCATTTCTTCTCCCATCTTCATATCGTATAAATTTTCCATCATATTTCTTATCTTTTGATGGGGATGTAGCGCTTTCCGTTACCGCGTCCCATCGTTCTGCACCCCATTCCTCTGGTGCTCCTTGACGATGTGTAAAGAGAACATCTGCGGTACGCACTAACAATTTATGTTGAATAAGACCACTATAGGAACTATCACAAACGGCAAAATCATGTGTGCCTTCTACAAGAATAATAGATTCACTATGCCGCACTTCAGTAACAGCACCAATATATCCTAATCGTTGCATAACGGTAGGAAATGGTTCTAACACATATTCATCAAACACTCTGGCATCATTATGGGCATTTTCTTCTGAACTTTCTTTAAGTTTCAAAATACGATGTTGGGCCTCTACTTGTTCCATCAGTAAATCCGTAAAAGCAGACCAACTAATTGTACCCTTTTGCTCTGGATCTAGTATTTCAAAAAAATGTATGACTGTACGTCTACACTCTTCAAGAAAATATCCAGCATCTTGAATTAAAGTACCATCACGTTCAATTGCAGAAGTACGAGTCCCTGTATTTGTATTCATATGACCACCTTTAGTTCCTGAAGATGGGGCATCAGTCTTTATTTCTCCAGTGCTAGTTTCAACAGTTTCCGAAAATGAACCTTCTGAGGTAGAGGCGAAAAACTTAGCTGGAAACCTATTTATAAAGCATAGACGAAATATAGCTCGACTAAACACATAAACAAATACTGGTAAAGGAATAAGAAGTTCATCTGTTGTAACATCTGCTAATGCCATTGAAAGACTAGGTTCCCGTTCTAATAAACGATCACTAAGAGAATCATAGATATCAAACCCTTGTGGTTTAGTTGGCATGGGTGGTACCCACAAATCAGACATAGATTTTTTTCCTTTATTACCAAGAAAAGAATTCGTGGTGAAGGGAGAACGAGCACCAAGAGAATCTCTACGACGGGTTTTCATTGACTTTGCGTATTCACCAAGACACCACTGTACAAGTCGATCATACAACCATGTACGCAGTAATCGCATTCTTTGATAAGGGAAATCTGCAATTGGGGTAAGAGATTCCGTAGCGGTACCATTAGCAGCTTCCGCAATAGAAGTAACACTAACACCATAAGCACTTTCACCACCATCACTCGTTGTACTTACAGAATTTTTTCGGGATTCGGATTGTCTTTGACGAGCGCTTCGTTGAAGTTGTTTTCGTCGTTGTAGGCGTTCTTGTTGACGTTCATACTGCATTAATTCTCTCGCTACATTTCCTGCTAACTTGTATAAATCTGCCATATCTGCTCGACTAAATATGTGTGCATGAGCAAGAAATGACCTCTTTAAGTGATCAAGGTCCATAGCTGCTAAATCCAATACAGAGAGAGTTCCCAAATCTCGTCCACTTCCATGTAATTGATGAGAAATTGATCCTCTTCCCTTGTTATTTAGTCTACAAGGTCCTCTTATTCTTTTTGGAGAAGATACAGGAAACGTGGGTAAATGCACAGAGGAACGCGGTACAGATAAAGGCTCAAAAGGAAGAGCCGTCACTGTTGTTGGGGCAGTTTCTTTTGGTGTAGTAATGAGAGCAGGATCATCACATTGAATTTCATTACTGCTCCGTGAGAGACGTGAAGGGGGTTGTTGAATGAAGGCAACAGTCTCAGCCAAATGGTCCATCAAACCTTCTTCTGTTCCTTCTCGTGCTGATGTCGCATCTGGATCCTGCATATCTTATTTCTAATAAAATAACAAAGAAGAAGAAGAAGAAGAATAATAAAAATAAAAAAGAAAAAAAAAATAGACTGGACTGGAGAGAATGAATTCATCTATATTTTTATTTTATTTTCTTTTTCCTGTGAGTTTTAACATTTCACCTTCTTTTTTTCTCTTTTTTTCGTTATTCCTCACTTCACTTCTCACTCTCACCCTCACCAAAACAATAATATTGGTTGGCTAATCATCCGCACACATAAACGCACACCTTCCTTTTTTTTTTTCTTTTCTCTCTTCTCTTTCCCAGAACTTCTGGAGAACGAGTGAGTAAGTGATTGAATAAATAAATAAATGAGAAATATGCAAATAAAAAAAAAAAAAAATCGATACGCAAACACAACGAAAGAAGCCTTTAATGATGCTTCATTCAAAACCAAAAAAAAAAAATAATAATAATAATAATAATAATAATAATAATAATAATAATAATAATCCAAAGAAAAATACAACGTCTTCGTTAATCCTTTTGCCCCTTTGTCTCATCATACCCAAGGTGCTGTAAGATATTACTACCAACAGAAACCGTGCGATGTACTTCATACGTATTCACTTGCTCACTCACCCGTGCAGGATCGTAAAGGTAGTTTACCATCACTGTGGCGCTCTCTTGACTACCTGCAGGAGTGCAATTCGCCAGGTAATTCAGTCGAAGCATAGTGGCACCATTGGAAATGTGAAAGTTCCCAACAGGGTCTAAGATACGACTACGCCTTTTCTCTTCATAAAGGTAGTGCGCTACAGACCGTAGTAGTGGAGCCTCAATGGCGCGGGTAAAGATATGATCCCCCCACCAAGGTTCCCACTCTTTATTATGTAAACCAGTATTCGTATGGTTATTATTGTTATTATTATTATTATTATTATTATTGTTTCCTTTAAACAATGTCAATAATAAATTCATAGTGGCCAAGTTAGCGGTATTACTTACCGCATCAGGAGCTTCCTGTTGGAGTTGCTCTACGAGAGTGACATGTACGTCAGGATGCCGCTTTACAAAACCCACAAGAGCCATACGTAGTTGTTTAAATAAATGGACGTCATCCTTTCCATTAGCACCAAATATACGGTGTTGTGTAAACTTTAAACTCATATCTCTTTTGGTATCATTATTCTGGAGATGCACACATTGTTGCAACTTAGCCACCTCTGCCGTTAGCCACGGTATATACCCAGGAATAGGAGAGAGCGTAGAAAAGGTAGTAATAGAAGAAAGACCATTCGCTCGCCGTACTGTGTTAAGCTTCGCCTCAATCTCACGTACTACACGTTTAATAAGTAAGTTACCAAGATTCATACCATGCAATGCCGATTGGGCAGAGTTGATACTATAGAAAATAGCCGTATCCACCTCATCATTACATACTTCTCCTTTTTCTTCTTGCTGTTCTTTTTCTCTTTGATGATGTGACTCTTGATTATCATCTAAGGGAGAAGGTCGTCCAAGAATGCGATCTACCGAATTGGCAATTCCACGTGTAAGTGCCACTTGTACGGCGATTAACGGCTCCTCCACAACGGCAGGATGAAAAAAGGCAAAAAGGTGCCTATTATGTGTGGGTTGTAATCGTTTCTTCATATCTAATAAACCACCATCAAATGGGTGTACTTGTTCCGCCGCAATGACTTGTTCTAATAATAATGGTGGGGTGGTATCCCATGTGAGTTCCTCCATGACCAGCCACTCCTTTGCGAAAAAGTCACTAAAAAGAAATTTAAGGGCTCCATCTATTGTGGAAAGATGACGTTGACGTGACACCCAAAGATCCAAAGACTCTTGTATTCTTATTTTATCCGTCTCCATTGCGAGAGAAACTTCTTTTTTTTCATTATTTTCTTTTTCTTCTTGTTGTTTCTGTTTTTGTGCCTGAAGAGTGGATATGTGATGTCGAGATTTTGAATAAAAGTATGAAATGCAGCGACGTAAATCCATCAATCGCCGCATCCCACGCTCTAGAGAAGCAGTTTGCCGCAACCAAAGATAATGCACCGGTGAACCCGCATGCCGTACGGCAAAACACTGTCGCATTATTGCATGTTTGGCTGTTACTAATTTAACAGAAAGAGTTGCAGAACTCATATCACCATTATTATTATTATTACTATTACTATTATTACTACAAGTAACATCCATAGAATTACCTTTTCTTGTGGTATTCTTTTCGTTAGTATGACTCGCCTCCATCCGATCCACTTCAGCAAGAAGTGACTCTACTTCACTAAGACTGTGGTTTAGTTTATTCGCCGCCACTCGTATATCTGCGAGGTTAATATCAAGTTCTGCTAAAAGTCCAATAAATTCAAAGAACATTGTCTCTCGAGTAGGTGTCATAATACGGTCAATATTACTAGGCACAATGGGTGGAATAATGGACTCATATACATCCCATACAGACTCCACAACAGAGTCTGGTAGACGTCCCTTTTCTCCAATCATAACTGCCTTAAGTTCCTCCACAAGTCTCGCTTGACTCTGCAGTTCACCCAACAATGCACGATTAGCCTCACTATTCAATGTAGAACCAACAGAAGAAGAAGAAGAAGGGGAATTGCTGCTAGTAGACTGTGAGTCAAATCTACCGCTTTGCGCCAATCCCCATAGTCTACGACACCAGGCAGCCACACGATCTTCTGAGTACTGCGGTGATGTGTATTGATAACGCTTTGAATGTTGTAGCAATATTGGATTCCAATCTCTCTTCTCATAAGAAAGAGAAGTAATCCTTCTATAGATGCCCTTCTGCACTCGGCAACAGAAAGAGGCAGCAGACATTCCTCTTTCTTTCTTTCTTTTTTTCTTCTCTCTTCACTATAAAAGAAGACAAGAGATTCTCCTTTACTCTGGAAATCCGCGATAAATGAGAAAAAGGGGAAAAAAAGAAAAGTACAAAAATGAAAAAAAAGAAAAAAAAAAAGGACGATTCCAATCACAAATCAATTTTTCAAACCAAGAAAAACTCATAAACATATGTCACCTTTTTTTTTTTGTTTTTACACTGAACTATCCCTTTTTACCCTCTTCTCAGCATTAACTATGGCAATCTAGGTAGGGATCCCGTAAGATTTTTCGATAATGGATTTGTCAAAAGCAACCGCAAATACCTTGTACTGCATAATACACATTCCAAGTCTCCCTCAACGCCTGGTGTCGATATATCATTCCCCTTCTTATTTGATTTTAATGAAATAAATGATTCATCCAAATGTTGATCTTTCTGTACTTGTTCTTGTTGTTGTTGTTGTAAGTGTTCCTCCATGCTTGCACGGCGGGCGTCAAAACATGTTTTGTGATAAACGTGACGACATCCTTTAAACACTACAAATGGACGTGTTAATGCGGCTTGTCCACATGCAATACAACGCTGTGATGAAGGCATCGTTATTGGACGTTGTTGAATAGCCTCCTTATCAGATTGCAATAACTCCATATCCTTTACAGAGGCTTGAATGTTTTGTTTGAGACCTTCTAATGTTTTACCAAAACTTGAAACTCGTGCTAATAATTCCTCTCGAAACTCTCGTATCATCACATCTCCACATAGATATGGAAGTACATCACTAACATTTAAATCTCCATCACTAGCAGCCACTAACTGTAAAGCACGTCTGGACCCACCGTGTCTGTTAGAAACCGTTTGAGCAAGTTCTTTCCACAACTCATGGCGAATTCCATCCACATCCTCACCTTTCATACTTTGAATAAAGTGTATTGCAAGTTCCTCGTTTTGTAAAAGAATCGCCATTTGTAAAGCCTCTCGGTGTCGTCCCATTATAAATGACACCCATGCACATCCAATAGGGCGTTGAAACCGAGAACAAATTCGATAGGCGTAAGAAACCTCTAGTCGATGGGTTTCATTACTCTCACACAATTCACGAAAGAAATGAGAGATAGCAGCATCATCCCCATCTCGTGCAGTAAAGTATAAAAGTAATTGCAACATAGATTCACTCCTATGGCCTTCTGTATAAATAGCGTGCTCCAAGTAAAGTCGTGCGGCATGATAAGATGCCCGTGATCGTTCTTCTTCTAATAAAGATTCCTCAATCGTGTGTCGCTGAAGTACAACTTCTGCAGCCGCATCGGCCTCAAGAACCGTTTCATTGTGTTTGGCATTATATAGTAATAACGCCGGAATGAGTTCCATAGGACCAAGACTCAACTCAGCCCCAAAGGGAATGAGTCCATGACGAACAAAACGACAAGGATAAAGACGCATAAGAAAAGATGCATAACGCATCCAATAACTCTTTAATAAAGAAACTGAGCAACGTGTTTCACTTTCCATTAAATTTCCTAGTGTATTAGTTGCGGTTACTGTTGATATTTCAACTCCTCCTCCTCCTCTCAGTACAGTACGAGCAGTAAGTTGCTCAAGTTGTACAAGACCTTCTAATGGTCTTTGCTGTTGCAGAAAAAGCCGTAAAAGAACTTCTTCATTACGACCTAGTCGACTACAAAGCGCAATAGAGAGTTCCAACTTTGCAATACGTAAAATAGCTGTACGAATACCCTTCCACTCTAAAAATGTACGGTACCGAAAGAGAATTTGTTCCATCAAGTACTGTGGATGACGTAGATTATACTTTCGACGAAGATACGCCATCATTTTAAGTGAACGTACTCGTAAACTACTGTTTTCTTCAGTATTTTGTAGTGATATAATAGTACCAGAAGTAGTACTAGTACTAGTAATAGAAGTAGTAGTAGTAGTAGTAGGAATACCAGTAGGAATAACAATAACACTTTTATCTTTTTTTTCTTTCTCTTCTTCTTCTACTTTTTCGAGTTGATTACACCGCTCAAGTAAGAGTGAGATAAGCCATGTTGCGAGACAACAAACCTCTACACTGTGTGATCCCACACCCCGTCTGTGTTGTTCATACCCACAAAGTCTAAGGTATAGTAATAAAATAAGTGGTTCCATATCATCCACCGCCACCTTTGAAAACTTTACTAATAAGGTATTAAAATAAGGTGGACCTTCATACGCTAATCCATGTTGTGCCGCAGATTCAAGAAAACGATTCTGACGAAAAAGGTAATCTGCATATATATGTCGAACTTTGGGTAATAGTTCTCGTCGCTCTTCTAAAGAGGGAGAAACTGCAGCAAAACGCAAAGCCATCATATATAAATTATCAGTATCATAGTGTGTGATATGAGAAAATCCACTATCCAAGTGTCCACTCAACACTCCATCGCGTGGAAGAACTGCGGCTTTTGATCCATGTAATTTCATCAACTCTTCAGAAGCCATCGTATTATTCCCATTGTATCCCTGTTGCGCTTGTAGAGATGCGGGTAAGAGTAAGATAGGAGCATCACTTAAAGGAGTAGAAGCTTCTAGAGGTTTCCAACCCAGACGACTACTTGAAGGTGTAAATGGATCTTCAGATGAAAACGATAAAGGACTCTTCCATAACGTATAGGTAGGTGAGTTTACAGGATGTGTCTCTACACCTACTGTTCCTCCAATTCCTCCTACCATAGTGGTAAGTGGTGAGGGATTAGATCTCTGATCCTCTGACTTTTCACGGTATCCTTCTTCAGTGGTATCGGAGGCATTGCCTTTTAATATAGTCTCCGGTATTGGACACACCGCATCTAAAAGCTGAACCACATATTGTAAACAACGTCGACGACCTTGTCGGAATCGCAATAGTAAAATATTTGACTTTGTAAAGAGATGAAATAACTGAGAACGTCCAGTATCATGTGAAGAAAAGGCAATCATCATCTCATCTCCACTATCACTACCACTACCACCACTTATCGTAGTGTTCTTCAGTTTTCCTGAACGAAAGTTTTGATTAAAAACAAGACGATTCTTCCACTCATATGCCTTTTGTGGGAATGGTAAGGCTGCGAGATGACAAAATCCATAAACTGCTTGTGTAGTTGTTAATATAAAATGACCGTATCCAGCTGAAAATGAGACAAACTTCTCCATATTTATTTCCTCTTTGTTACCTTGTTCATCCCTAGATATTCCAGAGGCTTCAGTACCTGTTGTTGAGGTCATACTTAAACCAGTCGATCGGAGTTGCTCATGTCCAGTATTTATTCGATAATTAGGTGAATATGGTCTCTCAATACCCGTTAAATTAATGCCATCAAATTGAGAAACATGTGAATTAATATTTTTTTCGGAAAATATAGGAGGAGGTGAAAACATAGATGAACGATGACGTGTACCAGGTTCTTGTAATTGTACTAAAAAAGATTGTAGACATTGAAAAAGATTCACAACGCTAAGTATTCCTATTGGTAGAAGATGCCTCTGTGGATTTTGTTTTAAAGGTATTGATTTCTGTTCATTACACAAAGGCGAGCGTAATGGTGTTTGCGGTATTGCTGAATATTGTGCGTTGGTATAATTTCTCATTGTAGTACTGGTATTATTATTATTAGTAGTAGTAGTATTAATATTAGTGGGGTTTTTATATCGTTCCTCCATCTCAACTACATTTGACTCATCCGTTAACATAATAATACCATGTGTTAAAGTATTTCCATACTGCCAGTAGAATACTGGTGGAAGTTCATCCCCACCAAATGTAGGCGCAGATTCTATTTTATCTTTATTTGTACACTCCTTTTCAGTTTCTGTCATTCCCACTGTATTTGTCGTTATTGGAGTACTTTTTTTATTCGGCATTAACTCATGGGGTTCAACAATGACGACTTGAGAAAATAGACGTAAAGATGAGATATCCACACCAGTACGCATTCCTGTCCCATCCACCTGATGAGAAACCGTACTCGAACACATTCGATGACAACAACCCTGTGAACATGATGTAGGACTTGTCACTTCCCCATGAACACTAATATAATTAAACAAACTACCAACCATTGAGTTCCCTGTAGTAGTATACTTCTTTGAATAAGATGATGAAGATGAAGATGATGAATAATAAAAGGGTGTCATATCATGATATCTTATCCTTTCTGGATCAAAAGCGGTTTCTATATCACTCCCTCTTTGACTCCATGGAGTTGCAAATACAAACAGACGATTCTTTTGAGCAATCAATACTACATGACGTTGTTGAGCATCATGAGAGTGAGAGATCATCGTATATGCAATACTATCAATTGGATGATTTCTATATGGAGGTGGAAATTGATATAATCTTCGGGAAGCCATGATACCGTGTTTTTCAAGTCGGCAGATAAGAAGAATTCCACCATTACTAGAACCAAAGATAATATCCCCTGTGGTGACATCACTCTTATTATGAAGATCCCAAGCTACACATTCCAAAAGAAAAGGTTGTTTTCCTCCAATAACGCTTGGACGAAAATATAAGGGAAATTTTCGTGGTTTCATATCTCTTGTATGTTCATCTTTTTCTTCTTCTTCTTCTAATCCTTTAATATCATGTCTCTTCTTTGTTTTCTCTTCCTTTATTCTTTCCTCCTTCAAATGAGACATCATCATCATCATATCATCTGTAGAGTATTTATCATGGTGACGACGTGGTATGTAATAGTATACCGCTTTTCCTGAACGCCACCGTACAATACAGAAATTCCCACGTGGATCAAGATAAATCGCAGAAACAAGATCGTGTTCATCAATAAAAACTTCTTCTTCTTTTTCTTCTTCTTCTTCACCAGTTTGCAATTCTCCAGAAACGGTTTTATCTGTAGAAAGCCGCAATCGACTAATAACAATATCATTTTTCTCATCAAAAATATACAAGTACTGCGGAATGCACTCTGTTACGACCGCGTAGGTCCCACCAGCGCTCACAACATGAGCAAACGGCTCCTTATTCACATCGATTGGACACGATAGCCGTTCCGTACGACATCCAATCTCAGGTGATTGTATGAATGCTCCTGTTTTACTGTTTTTGGGCTTTCCACTATAAAACTCTTTAAAAGTGGTATGAGTATGATTACTGTTTAATGCGCAATCGGAGAGCGTTTGAGCCTTAAAACGTTTGTGTGTAAACGCCGTGATGATGTTTGTTACGCCCTGATGGTCTTCACTACCATGTTCGAGGTGCTCTGTTGTTAGTAGAGCGGGGTCAAACCACGCAAGCGCCTCTGAGGCCACATACATTCAAAAAAAAAAAAAAGGAGAGAGAGAGAGAGAGAGAGAGAGAATATTTCCTTCTCTATAATTTATTATATTTCTCTCTTCCTACTCCCACTCTCCTTTGCCCTTTACCATAGCAAGAAAAAAAAAAAGAAGTCACAAGAGAGGGCGGGTAAAAAAAATATAAATAAAGTGGGTAAAACGCAGAGAAAAGAAAGCAAATGTTGATTATATATATATATATATATATATTATACGAATTAAGTTGAGTTGGGTCCATAAAAAGAAACATTCCTTTTTACCTATAAGCCTCCATCTAAAGTGTGCAAATTTCTTATAAAAAAAAAAAAGAGAAAAAAAAACTTTAAGTAAAAAAAGATAAAAAAAAGCTATAGGTGAAAAAAGAAAAAAAAAAACTGTAGTAAATTCAAAACAAAAAAAAAAACGTGTGTACAACACGACTTGCCGCCAATATTTTCTAATGATACCAAAATTGAAGTATGTTTGTCATGTGGGAAATAACCACTCTATCTATATATTTCTCTTTCTTTCTCGTTTTTTTTTTTTTCCATTAAATCCCAAACCTTTCACTCAGTCTTATAATCTCTAAGAAAAGGAAAAAAAAAAAAAGATGTCCTTGAAGGAATCTTAGGAGCAATCAATTCATTTGTGCTCGTATTTGCTTTATGCGACTCAGCAACAACTCAGTTGAACTTAAACCATTATTCGTTTCATCATGTTTGTTACTTACCTTTGAAGGGCAAGTAGTTTTCTCATCATGTCCAATAACTTGACGTAATGTATTACCTCTACCCCCACCCACAATCTGTTTGGGAGTGAGCTTCATGGGAGAAGGAATATGTGGATGAAGAATCTCATTCGTACGATCATCACCCAGCTGTCTCTTCTGTATCTTGTCAGTGAAAAAAATGGATGGCACTGTACCAGTAGAGCGTTCCCTCATATATTTCGTCTCCCGTTCCTGTTGAGGCGGTGAACGGGAATTAGAAAGAGATCGCCGGTTATACCGTGTCATCACCTTTCTGAAGTCTGGTTCTCTTTCCATACTCTTATTTGGCTTCCTTCGCCTAAACTCCGTCATGGGCGATCCCTCACCTCCGCTGTACTCCGTCAATGGTGATACCCGAACTTCTGAGAAATGTGGGGAATTATCCGTTTTCTCTTGTTCTTGTTCGCGTCGTCGTTTTTGTTGTTCTTGTTGCTTAGAGGGTGGTGTCCTGTCCTCCGTGGTATACCCCTCTTCCCCATTTAGACGCCATGGTTCACTTGGATCCCGGTATACTACCATAGATGGAGATCGCTTGTCAGTATTATTGTTATTATTATAATAATAATAATAATAATAATAATAATAATTATTATTATTATTATTATTATTATTATTATTATCACCTTCTCGGTGGTGTGAACGATGGCCTGATTGATGGGTGGTGGTGGTTTTTTGGGGTTTTTTTGGTGATGGTGGTGGTGTGGACTCGAGAATCGGTGGGGAAGTTTGAGAACAGAGTGGTGATGTCCATATCACCTCATCTCTTTTTCTCGTTAAAAACTCGTTCTTGGAATGAAATTGTTCCGCGGTAGAATCTTTATTCGCTGTAGATGTTGGCGGCGGCAACAACAAGGATGATGATGATGATGTGGGGGGACCTGTAGCAACAAAAGTGTCAATGCTTGCACTGGAGTGATGGACGAAAAGACTATTATCTGATTGCTTTAGTCGTTCCTCCTTTAATGACAAGTGTGATAATGGCGGAGCGTAGTTTACATGTCCGCCTGTACCCTGCTGACGTCTTTGCCTCTCTTCCATCTTAAGATATGCTGTCAGTTGTTCCTCATTTGAAAGAGGCTGCGGGAGAACAGTGGTAGTCTCAGAACCCCCTATACGTGAGATGGATTCGGGACGAAAATATAAATCTTTTACCTCACTATTTTCCGGGGTTGTTTGTAAAGTGGGGGCACGAAGTTGGTAACAAAGACCAGCTTGGACATTTCTTTCTTTTCCCAAAGTACCCATCACTCCAGTGAGTCTTACACCTCCTCTGTGGGTGGGGAATTGAGGATGTAACGCCTGTGAGGATAGTAGACGTTTCTTTTCTTTCCCTTGTTGCTCTTGTTGAATTTCTCGCGATTGTACGGTTGAAGATGGTCGTTCCATTATAATGGACGCCTCTTGTTTCTTCAGTGCTGATCTACTTCTTCCTCGTGCTGCGGAGGATACCGTATCTCTTCTCCGTGTTGAGTTCCGCCACTCATCTCTCATCACATCCTCCTCCTCATCATATTCTGCGCAGTAGTAGCGATCAGCAGGAATATCTGAGCAGAGTTCTGTCTCAGAAGTATTATGGCTAACAATACCACTCCGTTCGTGTGCAGGTATAGGCGTTGATGTGCAGTTGGATGGATATTTATTCATTTCACAAGGAGTTTCACTGCGTCTCTGTGTACTTCGTTGTTCTCGTGCTAGTCGCCAGTATAGTGGAGCATTACGGTCCATACCATGAGAAATATCTTCGGTTGGTGAAACACCCATCATTGTTAAATCTCGCCTTGGTGTCTCACCGCGTCGGGATGATGAAGCACTACGTCTATACAGTGCTGCCATTCTATTGGCGTCTAATGAAATGGAACTTCTACTTCTTCGCAGTTCACTCCCACCTTCTCTCAAGAGATTTCTATTATCCGTAAGACTCTTACTGCGGTTACTCCTTTCCATAGTGTGTGAATCTGGTCTAGACTTCATATGTGTAGTTGACCTTGGAGGTAAGGTAATAGCATTATTCATTTCATTATTTCCACCAACTTTTATAGTACGCTTTGAAACTGTATCTCCTTTATTTACAACAGTACCAGAATGTGTTTTTCCCTTTATCATATCACTTTTTCCCTGTCCCTGTCTCCTTTGTTGATTATTATGATAGTTTTCCCGTAATAAAGCCTCGTAAACAGAAGGTCCATGACGAGGTTTAGAAGTACTTCGCTCACGTTGTGGTGATGATGTTGAGATTGATGATAACGGTAATGGCGGTGGTGTTGATGGTTGTGCAGATCCAGAGAAATGCACAACGGTTTTTAATAGTCGTTGCAATTCCGCTTCATAGTGTTTACGCGCACGGATTAGTTTAAAACGTTCTGTATTAAGTTTATAAGATCCACCCCTTTGACGTAGAGATCTGGACCATGGAACACTCTCTAATCGATGAAGCTCTTCATCTATTAATCGGATCAGCCGAATAAGAGAATAACGCTGATGTGCAAAGCTTATACCTTCCAGTTTTGAAGTTGATTGCAATTTATCATGTGTATTTGATGGAGAACGAGAATGAGAACGTGATGGAACGTATATGCGAGGATCAATGGCTTTTTCTTCCCAGGGACCCACAGGATTGGGAGAATGAGATCGTTCATCTAAAACATCACTCTCCTTATCATCACCATCATCATCTTTACAACTTTTTCTATTGATACTACTACTACTACCACAACTACTACTCGTTTTGTATCTTATAGATCCCTGTTTATCAGAAAGACAACTTGGTGTACTGTTTCTCCTACGAACCACTCGCATAGTGCCTTCATTCACATTTTCAGAACTCATTAAATGATTCTCAACATCAAGAACAGTATCTGTAGAATAATTAAGCAACTGTTCAATATCTTCTTCTTCTTTTAACCCCGTTGTTTTACTTCCTTTTTTACGGGGTTCTGGTTTATTAGGGTCATCATTTTCATTCCCACAAGCATCGGCTAAGTTAAACCCCCTGTATGCTCGTTTCGTCTCAGTGTTAAAAGAAGGAATTGACCCATCTAAACCTGTCAAGCGATTATAACGTGATCGGTCACTCAATCGAACGTCATTCTTCTTGTTATTGCTATTATTGTTGTTGTTACTGTTGAGACTGTTGAGACTGCACTCTGAAGGGGCTCTAAGAGTTCGTATCTCAGCAGTTCGTTTCGGTAGCACTATTCGACTTCTTATCAGATTCGTCTGGGTGGTCGCATCGTGCAGCTTATTAGTACTGTGATGAGATTGTGAAGTGACGTTCTGTGTACCTGGCTTCTGAATTCTCTTTGCGGATTTAGTAGTAGTAGTAGTATTAGTAGTAGTAGTAGTAGTAGTAGTAGTAGTAGCAGTAGCAGCAGTAACAGTACTTTTACTGTTGCTGCCTTGTTTTTCATTCCTCTTCATTTCGTTATCCTTCTTCTCCTCTTGATCTTTCTGTTTATCATCATCATCATCTTTATCTTTATCGGCATTACAAGAAGAGGAAACAGTACCACTGTCTTTGGTCTGTAGTGAAGTTAATACTCTTCCTCCTCCTGCTTCTGCTGCTACAGAGATATTCTCTTTGGTGGTTGGTTCTCTCTCCTGCACAACATGTAATGGTGAGTCTTCTTCTTCTACTACTACTACCACTTCCAGCACAGGTGAAGACGTCAAATTTCTCTCTTTTTCAAGAGTACCACAATCTTCTTTTCTTTTCTTTGGTGTATTCTTCACATTCATTGGATCTAATGTGCCTTTTTCCACTACACCCTTGTGTTCTGTCCTTGGAGGAGGAATAGAGAAGTACATTTCTGATGTTTTCATATCCTTCTTTCTTCTATTCAATCTTGTCCCCAAACCAGACTTCTCCTCACCCCTTCTATCGGTAGATGATGTTATTTGGATCTTTGATTTGGGTGACTGATGTTTGGTGTTCATCAACGTGCGAGATTCTTTCTCCTTTTGCTTCTTTTCAAGCGTCGCACGTTGTCTTTGCATGGATTCTTTCAGTAAACGTATCTTCTCCTGGAAGAGATTTCCATCACGGTCCACATTTACGGAAGCAGCAGCAGCGGCAGCAGAACCTTCAAATGTTAACGAACTCCCAGCCCCTGATGCTTGTGAAGAAGAGGTAGGCGATGATGTACTGCTCCCTGCTGACTCTCTTGTCCATTTATTATTATCATTATCAATATTATCATTGGAGACATTACTATCATGTACCTTTGATGACGATAATAATTCTGAGTGTGAAAAGTTGTGGTTCTGATCTAAGAGGATATTTCGCTTAGAGGGAGAATTATCTTCTCTTCCTCTTCCTCTTCCCCTTCCTCCTCTCTGCATTTGTAGTGGTCTTTTTTTTTTTTTTGTTTTTAATTTAGAAAGGTACATAAACATGTGAGAAAGATATTAATAAAGAAGAAGAAAATAAATTAATAAATAGAAATAGGGTACAAATCGTAAACCAATAATAGAATAGGTTTGTTATCTTTGAACATTTACAGTTTTAATGTGCAACGTGTAAAAGAACTGTTCTTGACTCTTTTTTTTTTGGTTTTTTTTTTTTTTTTGTGTGTGTGTTTCCAGCTCATCAAGCATGTAGAGTCACAAACGATCTCATAAGAAGACTCATTGGATTTTTTTTTTTTATAAATGTGTACATTCTGCAGAGGAAGATATTCTCCACTCTTTCTCTCTCTACATATATATATATATATATATATATATATATATATAT